CCTATTAAAAGTAAAAGGTTATGCACACCAAATGAAGAAATGCATTTGCTCCATAATAAATGCTTTTACCATTTATTTCAGACTTAAAGTAAAATCTAGGTTTTTATTTACACCACCCCATATGTTTTACCGTCCCTTGATAGATACGTGGAGAGAATGTGAAGAAAGAATTTGGAGCGGTTTTTGAGAAAAAAATGTTTTCAAAAATTAAAAATTGCCTGTATTGAAGAAAATTTCTACTTTTTTTCGAAAAAGTGAATATTATTTCAAGGTGTGTCTTTAAAACACAGATTTCATTAAGGAGAACAGCTTTATCTTCAATATTTTAGGTGAAGGAAGACACCTAAAAAAATGTACTTTTGCAACTTTCTAAAAATCAGGTATTAAAACGAACATGAGACCTACAACACACTCTCGCTTTTACTCTATCCGAGGATAACATTTAATAAAAAGAATGTGGAGCCATTTTTGAGAAAAATGTAAAAATGTGTATAAAGCTTGCAAAGTACCCTCAAAAATTTTAGCCCCTTAATTAAGACGTTTTACCGTCAAGCGATTGTGAAGTACCCACTAAGAAACGATTATATCTTCCCCCGTGTTAAAGGAAAACATTTACTATATATATGTGAAAGCTATTTATCCACTTTTTCGTTATCAGAACCAGACGAGAAGAGATTTTCTGTAGAAAATTCGCAGTTTTTCCGGTTGCAATTACATTCGTAAGGGCGAGAAAGTCAAAATATATCAACCAATGGTTCAATATGTTCTTTGCGTTCTTGCCTTATATGTTTGTATATTACGTGCTCGTGTTCATACATATGCATGTAATTCATTAGGGCTGGGGAAAATCGATACCCGTAGCTAAAGGGAAATATACTGTTTTGGAGAATATTCTATCTATATTTTTTTTTTCAAAACTTCCGTTCGTGCATCCGTCGATCCGCGAATACCTCTCTTAGTTTGTAACATGCGTGTACCTAGTAAAGAGAAAGTACTGTAATGCTGCAGTGTCGAATTTTCGAAAAACACAAGTTGGTAATGGATAAATTGTAACGGATAAAAGGATAAATATTGCTCCTACGTATTAGGTGTAGCTTCCGTTACAAAATGTACCTCGGTTTCAGTGTTTCCGTTCATGACGAATAGTAGATCCAGATTTTTCGATTAAAAAAACTTGTCTGCGAAAAAATTGAGTTTACAATTTATTTTCGAAATCCAAATCGGCTGCCGCTTTACTGCAGACACAGGCGCGTCTGACAACGGAGCTGGGCGTAGCGTTGTTTCTCCGCGTATTCAGTGACACTGCTTGCTCACACACAGTGCTTGCCGTACACTAGAGCACTTCAATAGTATTGTGTTTCACGTGTAAATTAATAATTTAATCTATTAAATCTACTTAAAATGAATTTTTGTTCCAAAATTATAACTACGGTATTCATAAGTGAAACATTGAAGGCTGAACACGAACTAAGGTTTATGGAAATTAACACATATTAAAAATTAGTAATATTGATGAACTATTTTCATTAATAAAATTCAGAAAAATTCGAGGTATTATAGGTATTATATTAATCCCCAACACTTTGATGAAGTCTTTGTAGTTGTAGAATACAGGTTGCCTTATTTTCAGATGACATATCAGTTACAAATAATACAGAAATTATACTCGTATGTGCTGCTGTAGAAATACTAAAAGTAAGATTATAAATTTAAAGAATATATAATTACTATATTAAGCAGTAATACTTCTGGAATTCACGACAACACAATTAATTCTAGGAATAATTCACCAACTTTCATTAACTATTCCTATAATATATTAAACAGGGTTTTAATAATTAAAGCATTTGTAAAAATATTATGGACGTTTTAGGAAAATGAAAATGTGGGAACTCAAACTTAAAGAGTTTTCTACATTGAGAAGGTGTTCGGCTGATAGAGCAGTGATTCATCATGTAGGATATCATCATTTCCGAGTTCATATTTTTTCGAACCACCAAATAAGCTTATATAAAAAGTCCATTGGTAAAACATATGCCTACTTATGTCCAGAAGCAACAGAAAATGTAGATGCAACAGGAAATGTTGCGAAAAAATCACCATATAGATGATTCTTATTTGTAATATCTATTTCTGTATTTAGCAGTGATGCATTAGGCAGTGTGACAATTTCTTTTGCAGAAATGGTCTCGGAAGGCCAAAGAACTGTTAATGTATCATCATAACTAAAATAATGGGTAAAATTTGAAGCTCGCTTTCCAAGGAAGGGGTGAGTACACTATTAACAATATACAGTAATTGTATTTTGTGCTAAAATATAAGACGATACAAAAGCTAACATATATGCTACACATTTTCTTGTGTTCAGGTTTGTGATTATTCTATGGTTTGTTCCTGTTCTTTCTGTGGATTCTTGACGAATGAACTGTATGCAGATGCCTGCATGAATGGTTCACGTATCGTTTTCGTTAAAAACACTTATTTTTCGTATGTTCAAAATTTCAAAAGTAAAGTATGTTCGGTATATTACAATTTGTACAATAGTACAATTATGAACACGATTTTTTTTCTTAACGAAATGTGTTCATCAAAATCAGATATTCAAATAAGATCAAAGAGAGACTTCTGGGATTCATACCCAATTAATTCAAACAAATCTCTCAATTGTCAAGGCCAATGGTTTAGGAGGAATGGTCTTTTTACCTTGCGCAGGGCCCCAATAAGGGGGGCCATTCTGAGATTCGAACTCGGCTGATTAACACTAACCGCTGTACTTTTCTTATTACAGATTAAATTTAGCACTTGTTTTCTGCAAATTTTGGCGTAGAGTATGAATTGTTAAGGTTGATGGATTAGCAAGCACGGCCTTTTTAAGAGGAATAATTCTGTGATTCGAAACTGTGTAATAAAATCTAACCTATTTTTTATTACAAATTACATTTAGCACTTGTTAACGACAATATTTTTCCGTAGAGCGTGAATGGTAAGGCTAATGGTTTAGGCGAAACGACGTCTTTTCTTTGGGCAGCGCGCTGCTAAGAGGTATATTTCTGGAATTCGAACCAGGGTAAATGAAACTAATCGGTCCGCGGCTATTTTTTGTTATTAATTATATTTAACACTTGTTTATGACAATGTTTGGCGTGGAGTATGAATTGCTAAGACTGCCATTTTACAAAGTACATTTTTCTTAACTTCCGCAAGGCGTTCGTAAAAGGGAAAATTCTGGGATTCGAACCCGCGTAAACAGTCTGTGACAATTTTGTTTTTTACAGATTATATTTAGTATTCATTTGCGGCAAATAGTCGCTTAGAGAAAGCATTGGTTTAGGAGGCCTGATTTAGGACGAAAGCCAATGCAATCACTCATAATTCTCCTTAACAAAACAAATGTTGAAATTTATTTTATCAGGTGCGTCTTTACAAACAATAGAAGTTGATAGAAATCTCAGATGTTCATTAATGGCGCATATGTTTCTTTCGGTCTAATTGCGGTCATGTCGAGCAATCTGGGGCGACTGGAGAGCAGGTAGAGAAACAAATTTTCTGTCGCTACTTCGCTTTTTCTTTACCTGGCCCCCAGCAGCCACAGATTACACATAAAATGGCCGCAACAAGTTATGGCCGAAACATTAAATAACTGAAAATAACGGTGAAACCACATCTAAGCTATTTGTTGATGAGAACATCAAAACTCCACACTGCTACCTACTTTTCTCAAAGTCAACATATTTAGTATTTCTGATTTTGCACATTTTATTGAATTCCTACTTCAATATCAGTTAAAATAATGTGTTTGGATATAAAAATGTTAAATACAAGTTACAAAATTTTCATTTTTAGCAGAAAGATTTCGCCACATCGTGTTTAGGAGAGTACCATTTCGCCACATCATGTTTAATTAGTAGGCATATAAGTTTAATAAGTAGCCATAACGAGTTCTCATCATAAAACTCAGTGCATTCCTCTGGAAAACAGCAATATATATTCTTCATATCTTCAATTTTAAAATTTTAATTGGCTTACTTTCTTGGGGATGTGCAGGATTGTTTGGGTAAGCGTCTTCTGGAAAATTCTTATATAAGCGTGTGGCGTGGAGGAATCTCGGAACTATACTGACAAATATTGACGCATTTTTCAAAACTGAAATTTTTGTCAAGTTGTTAGACGTAGAACTTTTTTCTCGCGCAACTTTATTCGTTAAAGAGTTATTTGAAGAAAACGTATAAACTTTCTAGGAACTACAGAACACTACATACACACACACACACACACACACACAAATAACATATTCATTTCAAAGCAGACCCTGGAACCAGGCTCGGGGAGTATGAATTTTGGGTAAAATTCTGTAGTGTTCTGTAAAAGTTCTTCGTGGTTTCGGTTAGATGCAATTATTGTTCACAGCGAAACAGATGCTAATGGGGAAACAGTTTTTTGGTGTCAGGAGCTTCCAAAACGTGTATCATCGTCCAAATCCTAACATAGATTTTCCACAGAGTTGCAAAATTTTCTCAGTGCTACGTATATAAGAAAGTAGAAGCAGTAAAATTAATTATTTTATATTATTGCTAGATAATTATAGAGGTGGAAAAATAGACATTTTTCGAGGAAAGAAAGCTTTGAAAAATTGAAAGTAGGGAATTTGGAAGTTTTGTGGGATCAAAATGAGCCACAACCGCATTTATGTGGAGGGGAGAAAAGAGTGAGTCAATGGAATCATAAGCCGAATTTAGGAGGTATTTGAAATACAAGCTTCAAATTTAGTATAATATTTACTATAATTAAATTAAAATATGACCATGAAAAACACCATGACTACAATTCAGAACAAACAGTAAATGCTTCATGGAGACCGATCATCCGACGCAACCGTGATCAATTTGATTTTTAACTCTCGTCTAAGATCTCATTGTTTGTTCCGGTGTACGGCGGTGAGCGCGTCTCCTAAGCATATAGTCAATGACGCTGCGACTGTTTCGCAGTTTGGAGCGTGTTATGGCGCATCCTAGCGCTGGCAGGGAAGGTAGAGCACTTGGCGGCCGTTGACAGGCTGCAGGGGACGTGCGTTAACCGCCAGTAGGCCGCCGTCCGTTTTGTGCACGTTGCGGAACGCCTCCAACTGTGAAAACATCAGAGAATCGTATTTGTTTTAGATAACAATCTAGTAGAGCTAAAACGAGCACGTAGTTTCATGCAAAATTACGCGAAAAGTACTAAAACTTTTGAAAAAATCGTACATGACCTTCGATCAAAATCTATCTTTAAGGAACTTATTTCATTAAGGGAAACATCTTTATCTTCGTAAGTATAGTTGAAGGAAGACGCCGAAAAAATTTTGATTTTTTTTTCAATTTTCAAAAAAATCAGGGTTTTTAACCAACATGAGTCCTGCGCCATTCTCTTTGACGCCTTCAGACTAATCATCGATGGAGTATTTTGTTTTAAATTTTGAAAATGTTCCAGAGGCTCGATGTTTAGTACCACCCAAAAGTAAAATATCTGTTTCAAATGGAAGGGGTCACGAAATCAGATTGAGGAATATCAATTTTAAAGAAAATCAGGTGAACGTTCTAGCGACTTCAAAAAAGAGATTAAAGACAAATTACCAAACCAATTTTCAACAGATTAAAACGGAACAGAATTAAAATAATGTTTAAATCAATAACAGACTTCAGAACATCCATTAAATACCTCATTGAAACCAAGAGACAGTTCCACACTTACACATATCCAGCCAATAAAAAAATTTCTGTCGTCTCAAAAATATTCACGCGACAATTACACTAGAGGAAATAACAGAAGACCTGCAACACAAATATCCGTCCATCATCAGTTTAACAAGACTATAAAAATAACGGGCACATTCCAGTAATTAGCGCAGAATTCAACGCTAGTCAAAGTACCATGTCAACCCCATCATTGACCTACAGTTCTGCTGTCCAGACTAAGATTCATACACCACCTGTCATACTTTTAAAAAATATGGTGGTAAGAAGTATCTGTGGATTTCGTTTTAATATTATACTATTTACAGGACTCCTTGATCATTTTCTAAGCTTTAAGTATACAATTTATCCAGCAAAACATGGTCATGTAAGTGCAAAGCCTTCTCGAGATGTAAGGGCATACTACCCTTCACTTACGTAAATATGTAAATAAAAATGTTTTTACAAAGCAAACATTGTTTTGCAAATGTATATCTCTTTCATTAAGTTTCCGTATTCCACTTTCCACTTTTATTTTAACCGATTTACTTACTATACATACCACTTTAACTGAAGAGTCGTAAAAACTGACATTATTTTGTAAGAAGAAAATAAGGTTAAACTAGTAAATTGTAATAAAGTAATAGCATAACTTTTTTATGGGTACAAATGAAGGTTGAATTGCTACTACATCTTACGTTGGCGTAATAACCATTGTCCATGGCAATTAACTTGTACAAAGCCGTCCCTCATTTACGTGGTCAGAATAATCATTCTGCAAGACCTCATCTCTAACAAATGAATAGAGAGGTGAAGTTGCATACGAACCTGCCAGATGCCAGATGGCATTAAACGATTAAATTCGACACAACAGTTGAAGTCCCAAGTAAAATCTTTTCTGCTGCACAACTGTTCCAATACAATTAGAGACTATACCGAGCATCCAAAAGGAATATTAATTTTAACAATGACATTTAAAGTATTATATACCATTTGGATTGTATAATTGTAAAAAACCTGTAACAAGTATTGTACTTCAGCTTCTGGGTCAATGACACCCATTTCGATCAGGTTTTCGTCCAGTTCCCCTGATAATCGAGCAAATGCTGAGATGGCCCTTTGTTTTGCTTCTGGACATAAATGTCACTTAAAAATTAACTTCTCCCCATAGCACACCACGCACAGTTTCTAACTGTTTTTGACGAAAACAAACAAACAAACCTGCGTTCGTCCGATGCACAGCGGCACCTCGTGCACCAGCCACAACACGCCCTCCGTGCATGGCGGCGTGGTGAGGGAGCCCGAGAACATGTAGTAGCCGCAGTCTCGTTGCAGAAAAGGCGGGAGCAGACTCACTGGCGCGAAGTGTTCGACCGGCACCGCGTCCCCCGAGTGGTTGACTCGCCTCGTCGCTGCCGCCACCGTCTGCATCCCCGTGTTCGGCACGCCGCACTGCTGCGCATGAAGAGAGGAACAACGAGGCATACGTAAATGGTAGACTCGGAACGAAGGTTTCACATCGCCCTGAAATACTAACATCTCCACCGCTCCTACTGCTTGAGGTGGCTGAGAACAATAACTGTTGCCTCCGCAGTGTCTCTCACCGGGGGGTACTAGGGTTGTAGTCTGGTCAGACGCAGCATTTTCTACATTAGCTGCATGCCTGGGTCGAATTCTGGCGCTTTCTGGGGAGAAGTGTAGTGGCTGGCTGCTGTGATCGCTAGTTTTCCGTGGTATCTCGGATCAAAACCATACGAATGCGGGGCGGTAACAGTCGACCCACTGACCTCACGTGGTCTTTCCCTCTTCTTCCGTGGCCCTTTATTTTGCTTTTCACACACAAGTGCATTATCCAACATTCGGCTTGCGTAAAATTGCTAAAGTGAGAAACTTGCTAAGAACATTCAGGGAGTATATGAATGAACATGCAGGTGATAAGTGGAGTTCTGAAAGATCAGACCCTTTTGAACATTTTACATTTTTTGGAGGTTTAGCTCATCTTAGAACCCGGTACCATACTCCGTAGCCTGCATATGTGGTCAGAATCGAGTTCAATCTTGAAATGTATTTAAAATTAAATTGCTAAAATCAGGTTTACAGCTCAGTGATTGTAATGTTTAGGACAGTTCAGGTGATGTCCGTTCGAAGAAAGGACCGGGAAAGGTAGCACAGACCATCAACTGATGTCATTGCAGTGCCTCTGACTAGGAGGATCTAGGGTTCGAGTCCCGAGAGAGTCAGGAATTTCGACACTAGCTAGAATGCTAGGTCGAATCCAGTCGCTGTATGGAGAATAATTCTAGCTGCCGGCTGCTCTGATCGGTTGTTTTCCCTGGTTTCTCCGATCAATAGCAGGCGAATGCCGGAACAGTGCCTTGACAAAAAGGCCAAGGACACCTACCGAGAGACCGGTCGGAAGCTTAGAGTTTGTCCCGGCTGGGGCGGTGCCCCGCTGGTGGGAGATACATCGTTGAGGGAAACGTCATTAGCCGATAGCCGGATTTCACCATCCCGCTGTGGAAGACCACCACCGCGATAAAACATGCACTCCACTTATGGAACCAATGACGTTAGCAGTTAACGAACCGATTAAATCACTAATCAATCAATCCAAAATCAATCGATGTTAGGTTTCATTATGAAGCTATTTTCACTTTTAAACCAATGATTTACAAACTGGGGAATGTTTGCAAGGCGACAGCCAGTGTGCCCAAACTTCCCCGATATTTATTTTCCCTCCTACAGCTAAATGTTTAAAACACCTGTTCGAAGTAGCATTTTCAAGATAATTGTTTACGTACCTCTACATTCATTTGTTCATCCCTCGTTATCAGTTCGTAAAAAATGTTAAATTTTCAATTTCAAGTTTCGTGCCGCATGCAGCCGGCGCAGATACAAACCCGCAAAACACGCCCCGCATTTGATCTGCTAACTCAGAAACGTGCGTTCTGGATCAGAGCTGTCCGAACGGGCGGCCCACCTAACGTGTCCCTAGCCAGCGCTTATCTGCAGGCAAGGATGTGGCCCCTGCTTCGCAAGTCAGCCTCAGAGCAGGAGTAGGGAGCAGGTTGGGGAGGGAAGACGATGTTCGCATTACTGATGATACAAAGGACAAGGAATCTCGTCAAGAGGAATGTCACGAGGGCGTTCGCGAGCATTTTGGACCGTAATATTACACTTTAGCAGTCCTGTTCTAGATCGTTTAAACCAGGGTGTGTTCTTTACACATCCTTCAAAATAACCACTCTTTGGATCAACTACAATTTGCAAATCTGGATACACCTACTTTATGGCGCAGATGTAGATTTTGCGAAGTCTAAATAAATTTCAAATTACTATTTGATAGTGATAATCATATGGGTCTAAATCATCAGATTATATCGCGAAATAGAATTCGAAGAGTCTCAGACATTGGAATGGGAGAGTGTAAAAAGATGTTAGTGTGTATCTGTAAAAATAGTGTAAGTGCAGTTAGTGCTCTTACATGACAGCCATAATTTATGACAATTACATCAAGATCCGAACCAATCCTCTCGCAAAGCTACAATGAATTATAAACGACGAGGAAGAAGATAGATGATTTAGAAACACGTATGAAGCGGTAGCATGACATTATTAAAATGTTGAAATATGCATGTAGCTAATGCATGAAATACAAAAGTTAATAATAACAAATTTGAAATTTCTAATTTTATTCATGAGAACTTAGCATGATGTTTAACCATGTTTTTATCGTTTATACTTACAGTTGTGAATAAGATGCTCAGCACCAAAGTACTGTTATTGTAGTCTTTATGAACCATGTGCATTTCCAAGGGATATCTGTAAATACATATTTATATTATTATCATTAATATTATCAAATTTAAAGAATATATTTTAAGCTGTTTTTGAAAAAATATTTTCTTAAATTAGTTCTTTTTAAAACAAATTACCTTTGTTTCACGCAAAGTTTCGCGATTTTTTTTATATTTGAAAAAAATGAACATGACTTCATTTAAAGATCTAATTTTGAAGAAAAGATTTCATTCAGAAAAAAATCTTTCTTCAGTATTGTAGTTGTAAGATTCCATCGACCTTTCTTTTAATTTTGAAAATTCAGAGAATTCGAAAGAAAATTGCGACTGGCCCATTTGTATACGCGAATTCAAAAATTTGTAGACTAGACAAAAATTTTGAGAATATTTTGAAGTTGTTCTTTCGGCTTTATGTAATGTATCTGTGAAAATTAAAGTTGCCCTATCAAATTCCAAAAACTGTGACCTTCGCCAGATCCATTGGGAACATTAGTTCAAAAAATTTATTTTGCTCTTTGATTGGCCAGAACCAAAAAAAGGATACTCGAGTTCAATTATTAATTTATTATACTTAGAATATTTTTTTTAAAACTTCAATTCCACTGTAACATTTGTCTGTAAACAAAGATCGATCTATTTATTAATTATGTAATTTACAACATTGTATAGGAGCAAGAAAAATTCTTGTTATTTCAAAAAGAATTCTTTGCATTCTGAGGGTTCTTTACGCGATGTCCCTTGGACATTTTCAAAAAACTTGACTTGACACCATTTTCAAATATTTTACTTTCTTCCGCTTAAGAAGGAACTTCTTAAGAAGAGAAAGTTATCTAATGCTGTGCGAAAAAACGACGAATTTTAAGCATAAAAACTCTTATTACAGGGACCTAGCAAGGAAAAAGTGGAGAAAGTCAGTTGCTAAATTTGAAGAAAAAATAATTCTAACACGTGGTGTAGCCAGGATCCATATTTTGTGGATCCTTGATACCGAAAATTCGATTGACGGCACAACGTCTTTCTGTCCGAACTTCGGTCTTTCTGTCTGTGAACAACGCTAGCAGCTAAACCGTTCAGCCGCTTTTCTTCAAAATTGATATTTCCCAATCGGTCTGGCTGTCACGGCTTCTTGAACTTGAAACCGATACTTGAATTTTAGGGGTCACTTTACATGAAGCCCATGAGACATTTCCAAAATTTTATAAAATGGCATAGATTTTCATGATTTTTTTATTGGATAATCTGAAAGACTTTTCAGAGAATGAGGTAGGTCTCATGTGAACTCAAAATCCTAATTTCACCAAAATTGCAAAAATTCAAAATTTTTTCGGCGTCTTCCCAGATGTAAAATATTAAAGATAGACATTTTTCTCATAATAAATTATGTTCATTTAAGATATATTTTGAAATAAGGTCAATTTTTCGAAACTTTCTGTATGTTTCGCTTAATTGTGTTTGAAATATTGTCAAGTTTTAATTTTTGTTTAAACAATTGTTTTCTCAAAAACGGCGAACCGTTTTCGGTGAAAATTTAAATAATATTAAAATTGATTGAATTGGCGGAAACTGCTTTAAAACTGACGGGGAAACGTAAAAAACGACTTATTAGTCAAAATCGACAAAAACTGCAACAAAAATGGTGTATAGAAGTGGGTCATTTATTTTTGTCGAAGCATAAAAGTAATGATTGAGTTTTAAAGATAAAAAGGAAAAAATGACAGTTCATTAAAATCCACTTCCTAGCAATAATTCATTCGTAATGTATTAGAAATTATTTAATAATTAAATTTATTGCAAGAATTGTCACCACGACCGTGATTCAAAACCGAGCCTCCTGGCCTCCCAGGTCCTCTAACCACTAAGCTACCGAGACGATCGATTCGTTGAACAGGTTCTGAGTCGTGCTGTATTCCCCGTTATTATATATAATTGCGATGACAGGGTGACAATTTAGTAATTAATTTCATTGAAGTTTAGGTATCATGCGTATTTTTTAATTCATTAACGGTTCCCAAGCCCGCTTCAAACAACCGTAAGCAGGGATTCGCTTTAAAATCCAACGTAGCGGCAGGAGAGTTCCGCTTGATCCAAGGCTGTCGATCGCGTCAACTTTAGACCACGTGATAAAAACACATCGGCTTCCTTCCCCAGACAGGCATTCCAGTCGCAGCCTGCACGTTGCCTTTTGTGCGGCATCTATTGTTCCGTTCGGACGTGACTCCTTGGAAAATTAGATTCCTTTGTAATGCAAATGCAGTTCGCACTTGGCGCGCCAATCCAGTAACATCCACCGCAGTCGGCATGTCGCTTCATATGCACTGAACTCCTTTGTAATTATGACCGACTCTTCATCTTAATTAGTCAGGTGAAGAAGCGACCGTGTGAGAAGATCGAGGACAAACATCTCGAAGAAAATGAGCTCTTGCTCTGATTTATTCTGCGGCAATATCTGATTATCCGGCGCGATTAAAAATGTTGCGCCCTACGAACTAAGCATTCTCTGTGTATTCTTTGAAATTATTGTTTTTTTACTGTCAATATTCATTGGTTTATTAGAAATAAACCAATTAAAACGAAATTTCCATGTAACCACGTACAATTTGGATATAGGCAATTTAAGCATTCTTTAACATTTTTTCCACAAAATCGCTGCAAACTTTTTCTTTAAATGTTCTCCTCAATGTAATAAGG